CATCTCATACAATATAATATATAATCTGTCTCTTATACACATCTCATACAATATAATATATAATCTGTCTCTTATACACATCTCATACAATATAATATATAATCTGTCTCTTATACACATCTCATACAATATAATATATAATCTGTCTCTTATACACATCTCATACAATATAATATATAATCTGTCTCTTATACACATCTCATACAATATAATATATAATCTGTCTCTTATACACATCTCATACAATATAATATATAATCTGTCTCTTATACACATCTCATACAATATAATATATAATCTGTCTCTTATACACATCTCATACAATATAATATATAATCTGTCTCTTATACACATCTCATACAATATAATATATAATCTGTCTCTTATACACATCTCATACAATATAATATATAATCTGTCTCTTATACACATCTCATACAATATAATATATAATCTGTCTCTTATACACATCTCATACAATATAATATATAATCTGTCTCTTATACACATCTCATACAATATAATATATAATCTGTCTCTTATACACATCTCATACAATATAATATATAATCTGTCTCTTATACACATCTCATACAATATAATATATAATCTGTCTCTTATACACATCTCATACAATATAATATATAATCTGTCTCTTATACACATCTCATACAATATAATATATAATCTGTCTCTTATACACATCTCATACAATATAATATATAATCTGTCTCTTATACACATCTCATACAATATAATATATAATCTGTCTCTTATACACATCTCATACAATATAATATATAATCTGTCTCTTATACACATCTAGATGTGTATAAGAGACAGGTGTTATATTGTATGTATTGTATGTGTTCAAATATTATATTTTATACTATATATTTTGCACTGTATATTTTCATATATTGTGTATTATATTTTATATATCCAGATATATATTATATTGTATATATATACTGAGATATTGTACATTATATTTTATCTATTCTTATATTATGTGTTATATTTTGTATTTATTGTATATATTTAGATATTATATTTTATTTCTTCATATATTTAATATTACATTTTGCATTATACATTTTCATATATTGTATATTACATCGCATATATTCATATAACATGTATCATACTAAATAAATTTACTACATATACGTGCAATTATATACGTACGTATGTACGTACACAAATACACAAATATAACGTTTTTCAGGTAGATCGGTGGGGGCAGATAGAGCGGTCGCCGAATTAGCGTTGCTCCGTCGAATAAATCACCCCGTGTTTCCAATTTCTTGCAGTCGGTAACCCCTAAATTTCGAAGCAGTTAGACGGGGCGCAAAGGCCACGGCAAAAACTGATTGAATCCCCCCGAAAATCCAACACCTTTACGTCTGCTGGACCGGACCGGGCCCCGCGCGCGCCGTCTGTCGCGCTATGCACACAGTTCCATGTCGCGCGGGATAATGGTTCCATTCAAGCATTACCATTATTGGCGAGATTTGGGGAAACGATCGAGCGTGCTAACGGATTCGTCGCAGCTTGCAGCTTGTTTGCAAATAGGCCTCGTATTGGAAATTATTGATCAGGTGGCGGGGGACGATGATGTGCTACCAGTTCGTTCGCCTGGGAAAATATTGTTTCCGTCGGCGACGATTCGAGCATGTTATATTGTAAAAATATTAATATTGATATTAACTTTTTCCTTCGAACATTTTAATTAAATTCGAGGATAAAAATTGTACGAAATTTGAATGTGCCTAACGTTGTCAATGTTATTTATATATGACTGTAAATAAATAAGTGAATATATGTAATGCTATTTTAACTGACGTGATTAGGTGTATTTAAACTTCGTAGAATTATTTATTGTAATGTATGCTTGAGTAAAAAAGATGCTTTATTAAAATTTCCGGCAGAAATATTTTTATATTTTTATGATACGTTATTAATAATGTTTGTATGGTTTATAGTTATTCTTTGTTTATGAAGTTAACAAAGAGGATCAAGTTAATTAACGGAGAATAATTGTAGATCGTTGCAAACTTGATTAATACTATATTGTAAAAATATAAAAATACTGTAAAATGTTATAATAATATAGAAATACTAAAAATATTATAAAAAATAAAAATACTATAATAATATATAAATACTATAAAAATATTATAAAAAATAAAAATACTATAATAATATATAAATACTATAAAAATATAAAAATATTGTATTATACAAACATATAAATACTATACAAATATTGTAAATATTATAAAAATGTAATAGATATTATAAAAATGTTACAACTGTGGAATTGTAAATTAAGGTGTCATGAGGGGTGGAGCAGTGCAATAATTTGTAACTCGACTGTTTTTAGATTTGGGAATGAACGATCGATCAAAGAGAAGCGAAGCTTTCAGGAGAAACCGATTTCCATAACTGGAACAAGTGGGTATTCCAGTGTCGCGACACTATAGTCGAGTGTTACGAAAATAAATACGCGATCGTTCGATCAAATGGAGTGCAAACGGGGTGGCTGCTATCAAAATATTCGGTTCAAGATGGAAAAATAATATTTTCCGGGTGGCGTTGCTCGATCTCTGTCTCGGGGACCACGATGTTTCTCTTCTGCTTACGATAATATTTGCTCGGACATGAAAATTGCGTCATTTCAGTTTCCAGTTTGTGTTAAACAATTCTAACTTTGTTTCTGCATTATTATTTTTTTAGTACTATATATATATATATTATTTTTATATTATTATATGATATTGTTATACAATTGAATTTCCTTGTATTTGCAGTATTCTATTATTAAATTGAATAAATTTTATGTTCATTGCATAATCAATAAGTTTTATGAAAATTTAGAAAAATCAATGATTAAAGTCGGTAGATTTCGTATTAATTTAGTATATTAATTTTATATCAAACGGTCTCTTCTTGGAATTTATAGTATTCGATTATTAAATGTGGGTAAATTTAATTATATCGAATGAAATTATTTACAAAATCA